ATCTTAAAAAATTTCTTTAAAAAAATTCTTTGTATAAAGATCGGGGCACATTCTGACATCAGTAGTGAAATCTTGCTAATTTCGCAGTTATGCCGGTAGAGAAGTAAAATGACTTGAACATATTACATCTACTTTCTTGTGAGGTTGTAATATCATCTTTTTAACTTATAAAGTGATTCTTGTATTAAGTCTTCCTTCGATTTCAGAACTTCGAGCACGTCTACACTGCAAAGAACTCAAATTATACTTGCGCATGTTACAAAATTTCATGTTGTAGTACAGCGACTTCGAAATCAATCAGCATGTGCATGTGTCAATTGGGGTGTAATTTTCTGTATGAAATCAATTTATAAGTCACTGCGCGTAGTTTCTACGTTACTATAGCTACAAATTTAATATGACGCTTATATATATTTGCTCACCCGACACACATTCTTGAATATTGAGGCCCGGCCAGCAATCCGCGCCCGCTATAACCAGCAGGGCAGCGTCGTGCATTGCGATACAACAACCATGAGTATAAACACTAAATAATCCATAAACATGCCCCTGCCGTGCCCTGGGCAAACTCTATGCCCAGGCGAGGACAACCTTGCCTAAACTTACCCGCTAAAATATCCAGTTTATTTGAGTTTCAGGCAGGATTAATTCAATATTTTCCTTATATGTATTTCGGCTTTTTATGCTGTTAATGACAACTCGATGAATTTCTAAGTTAATAACAATGAATAAATATTTAAATGGACTTGTATATTTTCGTATCTCACTTTTGGCCCTTCTCATGCGTGCCTATCGTCGTATACGTATCTTGTATATACGTCGTATATCTTGTATATTTGCACATTTTGCAAATCTGCTCACGGTCTCATTTGAATATCCCATTCCGGTTCCCAAGAGCAGACCAACAAAATTCGCCACACGGCCGCGTCTCTCTATTATTATCATGAAATGTTTATTCCCATCACATGAAATTCTGAGCACGCAGTTGCTTCGCTACGCGCCGAATGATTTCATAAGTATTTCTCTCGCAGGATATTTGCCGTGGACTCTCAGGATGGCCAGTGCTCAACTTTGCATTGCATTTAATTTTGGGCCCAATTTTGGGCCCAATTTGCAAATTTTTGCAAATTTTGGGCCCAATTTACTGAGTCTTTCATTTCAAGAAGAAATTTCTAATGCGATGAAATGGTCTTTATAGCAATAATTTATTATAGAAATAAGTTTATAAGTTTGAAAAAACTTTAGAAATGGAAGTAGAAATAAGTTTAACATGAGTTTAAAATCACATCTCAGAATGAACCGGGGACTTCAATCTCCCTAACAGCTTATGAAATTTTTTAGAATATGGTCGGCATTTGAAGGTCTTAAGTATATAAATAAGGCTTTCGAGGTTAATTATCGAGGCAGTTGACAAAAACTACGTTAAGAAATATTATTAGGATGAAAAGAACTCGGGTAAGCGATCGTGTCATGTTCTAATTATCTTGAAAATTTTCTTTAAAAAAATTCTTTGTATAAAGATCGGGGTATATTCTGACATCAGTAGTGAAATCATGCTAATTTCGCAGACTGTATTTCAGTTAACATTTATTTCTGTAAACAGTTAACACGAGTTCAATTATGCCGGTAGAGAAGTAAAATGACTTGAACATATTACATCTACTTTCTTGTGATGTTGTAACATCATCTTTTAAACTTATAAAGTGATTCTTGTATTGAGTCTTCCTTCGGTTTCAGAATTTCGAGCACGTCTACACTGCAAAGAACTCAAATTATACTTGCGCATGTTACAAAATTTCATGTTGTAGTACAGCGACTTCGAAATCAATCAGCATGAGCATGTGTCAATTGGGGTGTAATTTTCTGTATGAAATCAATTTATAAGTCACTGCGCGTAGTTTCTACGTTACTATAGCAACAAATTTAATATGACGCTTATATATATTTGCTCACCCGACACACATTCTTGAATATTGAGGCCCGGCCAGCAATCCGCGCCCGCTATAACCAGCAGGGCAGCGTCGTGCATTGCGATACAACAACCATGAGTATAAACACTAAATAATCCATAAACATGCCCCTGCCGTGCCCTGGGCAAACTCTATGCCCAGGCGAGGACAACCTTGCCTAAACTTACCCGCTAAAATATCCAGTTTATTTGCGTTTCAGGCAGGATCAATTCAATATTTTCCTTATATGTATTTCGGCTTTTTATGCTGTTAATGACAACTCGATGAATTTCTAAGTTAATAACAATGAATAAATATTTAAATGGACTTGTATATTTTCGTATCTCACTTTTGGCCCTTCTCATGCGTGCCTATCGTCGTATATCTTGTATATACGTCGTATATCTTGTATATTTGCACATTTTGCAAATCTGCTCACGGTCTCATTTGAATATCCCATTCCGGTTCCCAAGAGCAGACCAACAAAATTCGCCACACGGCCGCGTCTCTCTATTATTATCATGAAATGTTTATTCCCATCACATGAAATTCTGAGCACGCAGTTGCTTCGCTACGCGCCGAATGATTTCATAAGTATTTCTCTCGCAGGATATTTGCCGTGGACTCTCAGGATGGCCAGTGCTCAACTTTGCATTGCATTTAATTTTGGGCCCAATTTTGGGCCCAATTTTGGGCCCAATTTGCAAATTTTTGCAAATTTTGGGCCCAATTTACTGAGTCTTTCATTTCAAGAAGAAATTTCTAATGCGATGAAATGGTCTTTATAGCAATAATTTATTATAGAAATAAGTTTATAAGTTTGAAAAAACTTTAGAAATGGAAGTAGAAATAAGTTTAACATGAGTTTAAAATCACATCTCAGAATGAACCGGGGACTTCAATCTCCCTAACAGCTTATGAAATGTTTTAGAATATGATCGGCATTTGAAGGTCTTAAGTATGTAAATAAGGCTTTCGAGGTTAATTATCGAGGCAGTTGACAAAAACTACGTTAAGAAATATTATTAGGATGAAAAGAACTCGGGTAAGCGATCGTGAAAGATGTTAATTCATTTGCGTTGCTGTTAACACGTAAAGCTGTTAAAACGCGAAATACAGAGATTTTATAACACACCTTGGCTTGTCAGGAATATTTTGATTTGTCAGAGATTCTGAGAATCTCGGAAACCATTCAGAGCTTGGTGGCATCTAACGTAACCCATTAATAGGAACTTAAACCTCGCGTATCGTATTCAGTTTTCAAACTTTCAGCGTGATCAACGAGCAGACATTTAATTGTTACTTTACACAGTCGCGTTTCGTGTAGTCAGGGAAATAGAAGCTGTCCTGGATTATTGCTTACACATGAGCTATCAGACGCGAAAGTTTCAATGCTGATCCGAACTACCTTTAAAGCGATTCCTCGAGATCACAAAGAAGTTTTGATCAAATTCGAATGTTTATGGGTTAAAAATTTCAGCGTAGTATTCATTTATACATAATTATGTATGAAAACTTTATACATCTGGTAATAGCCACGGCAATACTTGAAAAAATAACATATCCGCCTTTGCTAAAATCTTCTGTTAACATGTTGTAAACATAACAAGAGTATATTAAAGAAAGTTTATTTAAACATTTTATACACTCAACATGTTACGTTTAAGGACACTTTTACTTCAATATAGAAGCGGAATTTTACTTCTGCATTCTCTTCAATACAAGAATTCACGTGGAAACGTAAATCGTTTGTCGTATTTGACAAATTACTGCCTCGGCCGAGCAAACCAAGCGTGGCCTCGCCGTTGCAACTCATAATCACGTATATAACTCATAGAAATGTGTGAGACATATTCCAAGTAGGAAACAGTTTGGTTCCACAAAAAAAAGCCTATCATTGCTACGTGTAGAGAGTGCAATTTGGCAAGGCAAAAAAAAAAACAATTAATCATTGCCACGTGTAGACAGTATATCACTATTAGGACAATACGACTCACTTTATTTTCCTACTGTAAGTGCAGTATTCTACAGTATGTAGAAGTGGAAAGATTGACGAAGCCAGCAAAGCTGGCAATGGTCTCACAGCTGTCTGACATGTCACTTGCTTGAGATGTGTTCCTGACTTCATTCCTGACTTCATTCCTTAGCGCTGGCAGAACTCCAGCGGGACCAAGGTTCTGCATCGGCTGTGGCAGCATGAGAACTCTATACCGATACCGTTCTGGAGAACATAGATTTATGCCAGGCATTGCATTCATTTACAAGCAGAAGCAAGGGAAATGTCTCTTTCGTAAATTACTGTTTATGCGTTGTCAGCACGTTGATTTCGTGGCCATTGAGAGCCAGTTTATTCATTATTTATGATGTGATACATGTATGTGTTTATTTGTACTTCTACATAGGTACGTAGTTGTTTGTGTTTTTATATACAACACAGTAACTTTTCTCGTAAACGAACTTTGTTTTCACAGTTAGTTACATTCGTAAAACATTTACTGTTTTACGATTGACCTTGGACTCTCAAAAGGGTGCTATTGAAACGATGTTTTATTAGGGATGTTATTGACTATTATTATTATTATGGACTACTAGTATATTATATATTATAGTATCATACATTTTTGACTGTTATTATATTATTGAGCATGTTGTTGATGATCATTTCATTAGCACCAGTTGTCCTACGTTGATCGATTCTTGGCTTCATATACACCATTTGCCTAAAATCCGAAATACTGATGCAAAACTGGATTCTACTGTAAAGCAATTTTTCTCTTCCTATTTATTTCTATCTTTTTTGACGAGAAACTGCTCTTTTGTCGCGAAATCTTACTTACAAGCTTTTTTAATAGTCTCAAACGTTTTTGGTTTTTCGAATCATTGCTTCTATTGAGAGTAGCGTTTACAACGGAGGCCCGTATTTGTGTTTAGGTAACTTGTTTTGAACCAGTAACGCAATTCTGCAGCCAAACTCCCCTTTAATTGAAGGCCACAAGGTAAAAATTAAAAATTCCTCATGTTAGTTTGTTCGTTGCAGCGCCCCAACAGACGATGTCAGCTTGGCTGTGGCGGTGTGGTGAGAGTGCGGTGCTGCTGCTGGCGCTGCTACAGCTCCTCCAGCAGGACCGCATCGCGGCCCTTGGCTCGGCCAGTCCCAGCATCTTCGGCAAGAGGCGCGGCCAAGGCATAATCGTCGGGAACCAGAGCATCCACGACCGCAGGAGCAAAGTCTTCAAAGAAGTATCCTTTTTATTCACTCTCCCTCTGCCACAGTCACTCCAGCTCACTCAAATTTCCACTCTCGCATTACCGTTCATTTTCGATCTCTCTGCTCGCACTATACGACAGCTACCACTCCACTATGGCTCTCCCTATAAGCATCCTTCCTCATTTTTTAATATACTCTTACGTACCACCACATATGATTTATGATTACCACTACCACTCCAACTATTCCGCTCTCGCCTACGTTATTAATTTTCCCTTTACCAAGTTATATTCCATTTAAAACCCCCACTTAACCCTCTCAACTTTATCTTGGATCTATCCCACTTTCAGCTGATCGCTCCCTCCTCCACCACCTCTAGCTTACCCACTTTCCCCCCGAGCCAAGTTTCTCTCTAACTCTCCCTCGCTTTCTCGTGCCACGCCCTTCTTACAACTCTCTTCCCTCACCACGTTTTGGTTTTCGTCTTTTCATTGCACTCGGTTGTCTCTCCATTGTCTTCTTCCTTCCCACGGAAGCGCTTGGGAGAGTAGAATGTATATATAGTCCGAATAACTCCCAATTACAACTGTCTTCCTTTACCACGTTTTTGTTTTCGTCTTCTCATTGCACTCGGTTGTCTCTCCATTGTCTCCTTCATTCCCACGGAAGCGCTTGGAAGAATGTGATGTATATTTAGTCAGCAAAACTCCCAATTATAAACTTTATCGGGAACTTCAAAGAGTCCGACAAAGTTAAACGACATTCGACGCATAAATAAAGACATGCAAGTGACGAACAACCTTTTTATTCTGTAAACTTCTCAAGCCATGTAAGATTACCTCAGAATTCGTTTTAGTTTCAAAACGAATGCTGAAGTTTCTTCCATAACTCTAGAGACCTCGCAGAGAAGCCCTGGGGCAGACCACAATTATTCTGTATTAAGGCCCACCTACGTTTGGGCTGGAATAATTATTAATATCTCATGTTTGCTTAAATTGCAACTTAAACAGGAATTTAAAAGCAAAGAAAATAACACAAAAATTCAACATTTCTTAATAAGAGAAAACGTTTCGGAGTCCAGCTCCATCGTCAGTTCATAAGTCCTAGAAACACATATACAATCAACTAGCTAGTGGTATTACTGGTACTGTCTTTGCTTTCAAATTCCTGGCTAGAATAATATGTAGATTATTTCAAACAAAATAATTTTGCTAGCACGCACAATGGCGGGTAAATTAATCATACGTAACTTCAAATTTTTAGGAACAAAAAATTTTGCTTTAAAACGCATAACGTTTTGGATACAAGAAGTATCACGGCTTTCAGTTATTAAGTATGCAAATTTTCTGACAAGACTCCATACCCGCATCTAAATTCCATATTTCAATTGTTATAGTTGACGTAAACTACTTCAGAAATATTTCATATTGTTTATATCATATTTTAATAAGCGCGCTAACCTTATTTGACTTACATGCATCGCTCAGATAGCTACCAGCACGGCGCCAACAAGCTCGGTGACATCGGAGGACCCACCTTTCCCCCCACATGGATCTCGCCTGCCCCTGACGGTGGGCATCGTGCTGCCCGCGTCCCTCTTCAGGAAGCGCAAGTACCTGCATGAGGTCAGGATGGCTGTCGACAGGTTCAGGGACGAGAACAAGAACAGCGACCTGCTCAAATATTATGACTTCACTCCAGACAAGGTCATAATGAGCACACTACCGCCCAGCTCTTCGCCCACTAGTGAGTCGTACTTCTGTTAAATTTTTTTTATAATAATTTTAAAGCTATCTATGTAGATATGTTTCATTCGTGAATATGGTGCTAATTGTAGGTAAGACTAAAAAGGACATCATCATGCATCAGTAAGAGTAATCAGTATTGAGGCTTCCTTTCAGTTCGTAAACCAGTGAGATTCGTTAAATAGCTTCGGCTTCATTAACTTACTATTTCAGAGGCCGCTACGATGTTTAAATGCTCATAATAATCACGATTATAATTTCGAACATATCGGTCGTCTTGACTAAAACAAATCTGTCATTTTCGCGCCATAATTAACTATGTTTAACCAACTCATGAAAAATGCCAACACATTTAAATATCGCTGACTTAAAATTTTCCCAAATGTCCCCGAAGCTCATTGGTCTTCTCCGTACCGAAAAAAAATCGGTCACGTCCATTCTTTGCCAGAACCAGGACTTCGCATTCAAAGGTTGAGTTCTGGGCCGAGGAAACTTTTGGGCGTAGTGATTAGAGGTCCTTTAGGCGAGAGCTGAAGAAGGGAATTAGCTCTGCGACAAAAGGACAATCGCCGTCCCAAAGTTCCTCGAAAAGCGCCTTTCACCGCGTCTGAGTTGTTCTACGTCGCTGCCTGACGTCCGCGCCAAAAGAATAAAAATTTCCCAGAGCCTTATTTTTTTAAGGCAGGAAGATTGTCTGGAAATTGAGAGAGGGTGTTAATGATGGCAGCCATTGTTTAGTGTACTGAATAAATGTAGGTCTCCATTAGGATATTTCTCGCTTTCTGATTGAAGATACGGCTAACAGAAATAACTCCTTTCATGCATTTGTAGTGAGTTTATATTTAGCAACTTTGCCGGGTACCATAACACTTAAGGCGTTAAGTTCAACGTTTCGGCTAAGAACTGTTGTCATAGCAGGACAAAGGACCTCCGCTTCAAGATTAGTTGAGTTTTAAAGTATAATCATTCCGACAAAATTGTCCTTGTGACACACCTTGGAAAGAAGAAATATGAAGTACTCGTCCAGTTTTAAATTAGTTGCCAGCGCATATTTTCTAGTTCTTCGTTGAGATGTTTATTCAGAGGGTCGAATATATTTTTAATTTATTAACAGAATCTCACGGCAGTTCGTTTATGAGTTCACTTCTGGAATATCATCTCTGAAAATTCAAGGAACCAATGAGCTATAACAATAAGAAACAATAAATCTATAACGAAGAACAAATATGCTATATTTAATGATTTATTTTTGCAGCATAACTTCCCCGTCGATAAACTCTGCTTGCACGTAAAATTGTGCATCACTTGTGAATGTGATATACTGATCACCACTAAATAGCTCTTAAATAATTTGAGTATTCACTGTTTAACATTATTAATTTAATGAGACGCGGAAAGAAATATCCAGTGACAATACCCCTTCCAGAATCAGTCGTGTTACGTTTCTGCGGTGCATCAACTATCAATATATCAATATAAATTATTTTATAACTTTGAAACTAATTTTTTGCCCTCCAATTAGGAAAAAATTAGGATCAATTCAATGAGGATTACATTCAGTGTTGAGCAGCGTGATTTTCCTCGACATTTTCTTACTGCCACATTTATATAATTCCAAATTGTTACGAAAGTTAGTTTTAATTTTTTAATATGGAATGGAAAGTGGCTGACAGTTTCAACATGAATTATTTTAGTTTCAAAAACTTTCAATTCAAGTCCAGGACCCAAGTTTGAGTTTAAAATACGTTGTAAGATTCATCTTCCTCCGTTTCTCGTAAATAACAATTGAAAAGTTTAATTAAAACAAATTGCATTTAACTCGAATAGTAAGGGCCACAGCAGGGCCATTTTGGACCATATCATATTGCAACTGGATAATTTTTCAACCAAAAAATAATTGTAAAATACCGTACAGCATGCAAATTTACTGAGATCAACTTTGATGTTCTGTTTTTGGGGTTTACACTAAAATTAATGCAATCGACAGACGTTCCTAAAATTTCTGGAAGTATTATAGCCTCAGCGTTTCACTTCTCTGTTGGTTTATGCGTTCAGCAGAAATAAACAAGCACTTAAGGAGACAAGACAATAATGGGAAAGGAAACAAAGGAAACAATGGGAGTGGTAGCGTGGGTTTTCATGATAAACTTGAGTATTAATTAGTTCAAGCTCTCCCACTTGACTGAAACTCTGTGGAAGATTCTCAAACTCTGTGTCAAAATATTTGAATAATAAAAGTTGTAAAGAAATTTGTTCCGATCTTGCCATCGAATTGATTCCGCCGATAGTTTTGTGCTCGAAGTCTGTTTCCTGAGCACATATTACAGAGATTTAAACATGGTTGATAGCCTATAATTGTATTTCTATTGATGGAAAAACCAGTGAGCTGCAAATTAATTTGTATAAAACTTTTTAACATTGCTGTTCCGTTATAATCAATTTAGCAGTCTAAATTTAAAAAAATTATATACCAGTTTTTGTTAACAATTATACCGTAGCCTCTCCCATTGTTTTAAGCAAACCAACCGCGTTTGAAACTGGTTCGTCATAAATGAAGATATTCACAGTTTTGATACTCCAAGGTCAGCGTTTCTGCTGCACAGTCCACAGTGTTCAGGCTTTGCCGTAATACGACTTACAGACATGCGTGTTGTTCAAGCGTTCAGGATATCCTCCAAATATACGGGACCAATCGACTACTCTGCCTCCAGCAGTTGTACGATTTCCGAATCTTGATGCGATGCTCAAGCTTTTCGTGATAGCAGGGCAACTTACCCGACATCTTACCGTATCTCTGCCTACAAGCATGGGAAGAAATTGGTAGACTGTATTCTGTGTTTTGACATTGCGTTGCTAACTAAACACGAGGAGCCAAAAATCACATTACAAACTAAAGGCAAATGGGATAAAATGTTAAAGATAATATTTTCATGTGAAAAACCACATCATGTGAAAACAAGTTATGGTTGGGTTTTGATAAATTGTTATCCACTTGCACTGTTATTATCTCGTTTAAACACAAACATTAAGGCGATTTGAACGTGTGAGTGACTCAGATTCAAGTAACATGGAAATCAAGCCACATGATGAGATTACACAAACTATAGGATTTTCCGTTAATCCGCGAGAAATCGCTGGAGGATAAGTGGCCGTCTCGCCACAATAGATTTTTAGCTGACTGCGCCGCGGAAAGTGTCTTGTTTTGCGGTCGGAGGCCTCCTTTCTTGCTCCTATCGAAGGTCGATCATAGGCCCAATTTGGCCGGCAAAAATGATGTAGACGCAGCCACCACAATTGCCCATTCAGCCCCGACCATAGAATCATCGAAGGAACTCGTCGCACGAAGCGCTCCTCCGTAAACCAGTTATTGGTCTCATGCTGGACTCTCAAAATTGATTTCGAATGTCGTAAATGGGTTTCAGAATGACTGTCCGTTAACGTTGCTGCGCATGACTTACTGGATGGGTTCGGGGAGAAAGGGCGATTGTTTGTTGTTGTGACGGGGGCGACGTAATTATTTTAAGCCAATTTACTGCCAGCATAAGTGCGTCACCAACTTTCAGCAATATTTTCATTAAAAGAAACTTCTATTTTATTAGAATTACCTACCATTAAATGAGAAGCTAATAACCCGAACCTACCTATAGTAAAATATTCGAAAGTTCGTCCATAAGCTTGGGTCGTTTGTGCTGATTTTGACAACTTTATTATAAATACGCAATTCATCTCCTCCCGCACACCCAATTTTTCAGTTCAACCAAATTATGTTCATTAGATGACATCATAACACATGGAACTAGCCCAGTATAAAGAATGTCCTTATGATATTTCCTTTTCTTGTGACCATTTGACTAAATTTTTTCTACCCTCGTAATTAACGTATGGCCGGTATGCGTTGATCAAGATTTTCTCCGAGCTTCAGCCGGATGCTGGAGTACGCCTTTCTCACAAATTCCGTCGTGTTCTTTTAGTATTTTTTACCAGAAACTCGACAGGTGTATGGCAGAGGCTATGAATATTTTTAACAACCTTCACCCGCCAATTTACTGAGCACAACCGTAACATAAACTTCTCGCGGGCAGAGAGTGGAATGGAAAACGAGTGAACCAAAAGCCTGGTATCCTGAACCAGCTCCACACACAAAAGAGTATTTCTATGTAATAATATTGTTTATTTACAAACACAAATTCTCATAATCTTGAATGTTTTTGATATTCAATATTTCAGTGTAGAAATAAGAATTTGTTTCTCTGGCGACGTGGGATTATATGGATCAGTGAAATACAAACTTTTACCTATACTGTATGTGCTGCAAAGGTTTTGTAGTTAAGTTCAGGTCCAACAAACTAAACGTTATTGGAAGCAGAAGTGTTGTTAATTCTTTGGGGGGGGGGGCTTGGTTGGCAATTTCATAAGTTTTTGCAACTGTTTTAGTTCATGCATTAATTTTCTGTTGGTTGAAAAATTTCCCTCGTCTTGAAGATTAAAATAGTTCCAAGGCTGCTCGATCAACGTCGGTCTATGCTCATTTTCATGCTTATTTTTAGAACATTTTACGGTCGTAATTAGTTCACCATTATTTCTTTATCTGCTAATTTAATACAAATTTGATTATTTCGTAGGCACGGCGCAATGCCCACTCTGTAATACAATGAATGAATCACAATGAATCCCGCCAGTAATCTTTTCAAAACTTACTAACCGTAATCCGCTTCTATATCGCTGGGAAATTCCTTCTGGTTTTCACGTGTAAAATAGTTAGTCAGATCAGACAAATACATAGCAAAAAGTAAAAAATATATTACATTAATGAGAAAAATTCTTTCGAAAATTGATTTCATATCAGAATATATATCATACCTATGTATGTTTATTTCTTCAGAGAGACAAATTAAGGTACGAATAATGTGTAAAACTTGATTATTAATAAGTGAGTTTCTGATATTTTGTTCGTGGAGCATTTTCTTGAAATTTAATTATATATTTTATGCGCTCCAAGCAGACCGATCGATAAGAAAATAATCAACGTGAAGGCTTCATTGAATTTTCCTTAGGCTGGTCGCTGAGCTTTGAACGACTCTGAAATTCAATTTAGTTTCCGTGGATTTTAATGAGAAGACGTCGAAAGTAGCGGTGGTGGAAGTCGATGGATAAGAAAATTACTGAATGCTTTGAAAACCTCTTAAAGAGTAGGTTCCGCGGAAATTTGCATATTTCGATATTGTTTGATATTTTTTATTATACTAATGTTGTACCTCCATCGTTGCGAATTGAATGATGTTAACAATTCTTTTACATCAAATCAAGAATTTGAATAATTTCGTAAATATATGGATATTTCATTAACTGAAATAAATTATTTTTATATTGCGTTTGCATGAGTCATAAGTTTATCTGCATTTTTAGTTTCCTGCATTAATAATGTAAATAGTAATGTAAATGTGGTAATGTAAATAGTAAAGTAAATGTAAATGTAAATAGTAAAGTAAATATAAATGTAAATAGTAAAGTAAATAGTAATGACCAAGGAACAAAATATTCCCTAGATTTTCTGTAAAATATATCATGGAACTGTATGGGATGTAATTAGTTACTTTTCTGTCCACATTCACTGCTAAATAAAGCTCAAGTGGCAGATGTTTAGGACCACTGCGACTCGATCGTCTACGGCACACAGCGATCGACCAGCGCATGCATCCATCACTCGCTGTCGTGATACCCACGGCACCGCCATCTGGGCCAGCAAACACTTTATTGCTCTACCAACTTCCCTGATGAGCTCATCACAGGCAATGACACCAAGTTATAATGCACCAGCACAAGCTCTTGACCCTGATTGCCTCCCGACCAACATCAGATCACAAAAATTACTAGATTGCTTAAGTCGCAAGTTTACCAGGAATTTAAAAGCAAAGAAAACAGCCAGAATATTAACCATTTCTTAAGAATGCAAACGTTTTCATTCTTAAGAAATGGTTAATATTCTGGCTGTTTTCTTTGCTTTTAAATTCCTGGTAAACATCAGATCAGTTTTGGGAGTTCGGGTCAAGTTTGCCTTCGGTTTCTGAAGATCGAAGCACAATCTCTCAACTTTAATTACTTCGTTAGCATATTTATCTCTGATTCAGCTTCTGGAACATTTTTACATTATTTGTGCAGGTTTAGGACTTGAGAGGACTCAATAGTCAAGGTTTTTCAAACTTTAGATCAATGTTATCAGTGAAATTTTTCGACCGCCATTCCATACTCATAACGATTGAAAGCGATGTCATATTTGATAGCTTGTTAAATCCTAGGTTTGCTTTCCATTGCATTATTTTAAATAAAATTCTGACTTGAATGCGGCACTTCGCTCTACATCGAACAAAAACAGCACTAGTTGATAGCTATCGTAAAAAGTTTTATTTTTGCATGCGTTTTCCACTGTTAAAAAACTGCCGTGGAAATACGAACTTCAATCGTTAGCTCCACAGTGTGATATACAATTTATTTTAAGTTATGTCATGCAGCCTGCACTTACTACATTAAAAATTATCGTCTTTATGCGGTCAAATATTTAACCCATATACCATTTACTGCTTGGATCATTATAATACATTTTATTCCGTTATGGCCAAATCAAAATTTTGTTAACACATAAATCTCTGAAAGAAGAGATTCATTGTGGATAGAGAAGCTCTTGTCGAGATTGCTCTCATACTCGTCTAATATATGGTAATGCATGCCTCAGAAGATCGCTTCCAAGTCCTGGAACTAGCCAAAAAAGCAAATCCCTTCCCTAAAAAATTTGTGCAAGATGCTTGTGCACGTAACCGTTGTTGCCTCTAATAGCTCCATGAGTCAAGTTTCCAAGCATTTGGGTTGAATGGTCGCTTATTAGCCATATATGGCGTATGTTTTTATATTTGCACTGCCAGCCAGTCGTGATACTTTTTCATTGATTGCTATGTAATTTTAGTAATGCTCTTCTCAATCCCAACTAACTTGTTGACAGAAGAAAACTGGAATTTCAGACGATCGTTCTCTGACCGTTGCCAACCTAGTCTACTGCAATTTGAGGATCACATAATAATAAAAAACACCTATTCTCACGCCTCTTTTTTGCCTCTCTGTGAGTGCCTCCGGGAAACGGCACCAATTTGATGCCATTTCATCGTGGCGTTTGAACATTATGCGGCCTAATTCCGACCGGTTGCAAGCAAGACCTTGCCTTAGAAATGCCTTGTCGCATTCATGAACCATTGGTTGCCTTGTCTACCGTGTTCTGTGATAAGAGAATAATGCATGAGAATTCTTGATTAACTGCCTAGCCTCAAGCCTAATGCAACGAGTCAGTTGCTGGAGAGATGACCATTACAAAAGGAATAGGCTGACTATTACAAAAGACTTAGGCTGACTATTACAAAAGGAATACGCCATTTGGTATACAGGGGAACGCTGAAAATTTAGGAACGTAGAACAATTTGGTCTTTTCGTGAAATTTGAAAATTTACTTCCTATTAAAACTTTATTCGTGGATTTAGGAGCCCATGCTACAGAAATGAAAAAGCTGACATATAATTTTGGGACTCGAAACATTAAACATTTTTGGGGATCGAATAATGAAACGAACTCTGCTGACAAGACACGAGCACTCTGCGAGTTCGGGGCTGGCAAGAGACAAGCACTGCGAGTTCGGGGCTGGTAAGACATTAGCACTGCGAGTTCGGGGCTGGCAAGACATTAGCACTGCGAGTTCGGGGCTGGTAAGACATTAGCACTGCGAGTTCGGGGCTGGCAAGACATTAGCACTGCGAGTTCGGGGCTGGCAAGAGACATGCACTGCAAGTTCGGGACTGGCAAGACATGAGTTCTGCGAGTTCAGGGCTGGCAAGAGACAATCGAGCACTGTGAGTTCAGAGACTGGCAAGAGACGAGCTGCTGCCCCAAAGCAACTGATGCTCCCAGTTGTTTAATACACCTGTAACACCCGCCACACCCTACTGTGTCCGGTGTAGCTCAGCTATCCGACTCTTTTTAGTGCAGCTCTAACAATTCGCACAGCGTCGCACCCACATTTTAATAATGAAACCAAGAAACTATACGTAAATGAAACTATAAATGAATAAACCAAGAAACTATACATAACTGAAACCAAGAAACTATACGTAACATCATTTACCAAGAAAATGAAACCAAGAAACTATACGTAATGAAACCAAAATGTTAAATGAAACCAAGAAACTATACGTAACATCATTTACCATTCAAGACTGAATTCCCCATTGGATAGACAAAACGATTCCACGAATCTACTGCCTTAAACCATTCCACTTCCTTACGATGGTATACACNATTCTAACCATTTCATTTTTTTTCAATGAAATACGCAGCTAACTATTTCTGGCATTGTGACTTCTTACAGTTTTTCACCTAAATTGGTAATGGCCGTCTTGCACTAAAATATAACAACTGACATAATCCTTATACTTTTCAGAGATCCTAGACACGATCTGCAAGGAATTTCTGCCGCGCAACGTGTCCGCTATCATGTATCTCTTCAACAACGAGAAATTTGGCCGCTCAACTGCCTCGGTCCAGTACTTCTTCCAGCTCGCTGGATACCTCGGCATTCCAGTCATCTCCTGGAATGCCGACAATTCTGGACTGGAACGGGTGAGCAACTCATACCTCAACATTCTTTTATAGCTGCTTATTTTGTTTCTTTACTCGGGGCTCACGTTTCTTCGTGTGTATCGGGAGCTCGAGAGCGACAAGGCCATCGGAAAACATAGCTCTTGGTGTCGGTTTTGCACTGTTTTTTTTTTTTCAGGCGTGCTATGACTCCGAGAGTTTCTCTGGGATTGTCAATCTCTTGGAGAGCTTTTTTTTAATCCAAAGTGACATGCCGAGCATGAAATGAAAAGCGAGATTACTTCCTTGAGAAAGTTGGCTTAATGCGCAAAAATCAATATTGACTTCATAAAATTTTGCTAAACAAATAAATTCATCTGCTTTAACACCTCTTAACACTGAACAATTTCTTCCTACCGGAATTTTTTTATTATGAGATGCAATAATTCACCTTGTTAAGGCATTAAAGTATAGAGTAAGTAAAGCAAATATTAGATGATAAAGACGACGTACACAAAACTTCACCATACACAATTATCTCCTATAGATGACTCCCCAAATATGGTCTAATATGAGTTTCAAGTTAACAAATAATCTGTCAAGGATCTTGAAAATGTCCTCAGGGACGCTAATAAAATCTTGAAAGGGAAAAAATTTTACTGCACTAAAAATTTGAAATTGGGTCTCCAAATGCATATGAATATGACAAGTAAGTCAATAAGAATTTTGTTCTAATGACTTTATTGAATGCAATAATTCTCTATAGCTTATGACTAATTTAAGTTTCGCAGAATATTTTCATCAAGCCCTGACGATTTTTTCGCCAGATAAATGTTTATTAAAATAGTCCAAACTCACGCGAGAATATCAGTGAGATTCTTTTACTTATGTAGGATTCAGGTGGAGTAACTCAAAATAGAAAGAATTCTGAGTAGGATAGAACAGAATTTCGGGCGAAGTAAGTTGCGGTGATGGAGTTTTTCACGATACGTATGCGCAAAAAATGCTAGGTATAATTCTAGTAAAGAAGCACGCGCAAGTAATTTTCATGCGATGAAACGACTACCAATAGTTTAATAATCTAAAGTTTATTTAGCGATAAGTTTAATATTCATCGTCCTAAACATAATGTATAAATGCCCTTCATAACTAACTGTGAATTGTCTCCCTTGGCTCCCGTGTAACCTGGTATTGCTATAGGATCAGGTAAGATCCTTCTGTTTATTTGTCTATTAGATCTCCCTGACCCTTGACCTTCTTAATTGTAATAATTCTAATTGTTTCAATCTGTTTTCCAGAGACCTGTGTGCCCTGAACCTAACTCGTAGAGGTGTAAAATCCGTCAATTTATCCTTATCTTTATCCCTAAGTTGTCACTAATTCCATTCATTGGAATTAGTGACAACTTATTTATAAATTTATCAACTAAGTTGTCCCTAATTCCATTCATTGGTCGAACGCACATATCTCCCAGCTGTCGCTCGAAAATAACCCTATTGATGTTCTCCGCTTCAACACCGACTTTTTTGCTAGCACAAATTTCAATTTGAAATTCTCCCTTGCCATTTACGTTCCCTGTTACAAACTTGTACAGATTCCCTCTGGTCTACCCTGCCATTCGTTTTGCTTCAAATCTGAATCTTTTCTCCTGCACAAGTTTCCAGCTTTTACGAACATTTTTAATTCAATTCATTGATATTAAACCCACCCTTGTTAGTTGTAACTATTTATTTACTTACCTGAGCAATATTCTCTCAATGGTCTACAAGTTTCATTACCTGAAATTGCCATCTTGGTCACTAAAATTAATTAATGAAGGACAATTTTTAACTAAAAATTCCAGTTCATATCAAATAAAATTCAATAAATAAGAATGCAATTTTGAATCCTTTTTTCGGTTTTATTAAAAAATAAAGTTAAATTCTTCATTCTAATCCTGTTTAAGTCCTCATTTTCAGCTAAAAAAAATAAATAATGTACAAAGTTGCTAGTCGAACTTGAATACTGTTTTCAATCAAAATTTTATTAGATAACTTATCATAAATAAAGATTGTTAAGTTGTCTAAAGAAAGAAAGATTGTTGATTGTTTTAATATCTTCAATGTGAATTTTAGTTTGCTAATTGTTTGTAATTGTGTATTAGGTTTTTGAACTGACGATAGAGCTGCACTCCGAAATGTTTACTCGCTTAAGAAATGGTGACTTTTTTAGCTGTTTTCTTTGCTTTTAAATTCTTGATAAACATGCAATTCAAGCAATCAAGTGATCTTAATTTTTATAACGAATTTTTCATCTTTAAAGAATTGTCCCCGAGCTCTCGTGCTAGAATTGTCGAAATTGAATTGTTGAATTTTTATACTCGAAGTAATAATTCAAGTTTAGCTCAATACGAGGATCAAAATTAATATACAGTTTCTGGTGTAATGGAAAACAATAACTTACAAGAAGAAAATTATGATATCATTGAAAAAACTTTACTATAAGTTTATCATTATCCAAAAAGTAACTAAATTTTATAAATCCTCATTAAAAATCATTTTCGGAATCCCAACTGAGAAAATCAAAATGCTGGGCGTAAAGAAACGTGGAAAGAAAAATGTTCCCGTATTGATTTAGCGCCTTACGCCAGACTCGCGTATCTATGACACGGCATATCTACGCCAGACTCGCGTATCTATGACACGGCATATCTACGCCAGACTCGCGTATCTTTGACACGGCATATCTACGCCAGACTCGCGTATCTATGACACGGCATATCTACGCCAGACTCGCGTATCTATGACAATTAAGGCATATCAATTGCCTACACTCGACAGAGCGAGGCTCCAAACAAGCCAATTGCCGACCTCTTCAACTGCCGCGGAGAACTGATCATTAGTTTTAATTCCTGTAGGCGAAGTGGAACGTTCACTGCAACGCGCGTTGCTGTGGGTTTTGCGATTAACAGGGGAGTTGGTAGGTTAAGAGGGGAGTTGGTAAGTTACAATTTATTCATTGTAACTTATATTTAACATTTTCTTTATTCTCTTGTGTTAAACAAAGGTAATACGCAACAATGTACAATTAAAGATCGTATTATTCAGTTCAGGAAGTTTATTCAAGAGTTGTTTTCTGTATTCTTACATGGCAACCTTACACACCATTCAATACCATGTGCAAAATCCCAAAAATTAATTTCTCTCATGCAGGTTATAAAGAACGAAAGCCTTCAAATAAACAATAAAATCAACTTTAGACAACTTTTTTCTGATAATTACACTTGTATTTTATAAACTTTGTGCGTATAGACTTTTACAACTTTTTTAAAGTTTTTATTTATAGTTTAAAACGAACCAGAAGTAAGTCATTCTTACAAATGGCTTGCTGACTTGCCTCTGAGTTTGACTTAATTCATTTTTATTGGTAGCGTTTAAGACTCGTCTCCTTTCGACAGTTTAAGTTCAATGATGAATTATATTTTCGTATTTTTTTAATTTGATGATTCTGTCACGGTTCTCACCTTCAACATATCGTGGGGATGTGTAATAATTTCCTATTGAACGCTTACAAAATTACTCCAATGTCCGCGTAAAGTTCGTAAAAACTCAACGAACTAGATTTCAAAATTACTTAAAATCTATGTAAACGACTGTTAAATCATGAATACATTTTAAAGTGACTAAGGCTAACGTTTCATGACACATCGCGATCAAAAATAGCCTGCAAGAAGAACTAAACCGATATACATCAGATTTCTATCCATTTACTAATAGCAGCAATCACGAATTTCAGCGCCGCAAAAAATTACTTTCATTTTGGACATCTTGAGACACTTTCTGGGGACGCCGGCAGATGCAAAGCACGTCGGAAATTACATGGCACATTTGAAAAGCTGATAATGTTGAGTACTCGTATAGCAGCGGTAAGCAACTGCGTCCGTGATATATGCCGAGGCTGGTCTCGTGGGTCATTGTGAATGCATTGCTTCTTTTCGGCTTCCGTGAGAGAGGAATGAGATGCCTGCCTTGTAGCGTGGCCACCATTATCCTATCGTAACGGTGACTCCGAGATCCCGATTAATTTGTGATAGTGCGTACGCTTCCTCCAGTTTAGTGGAATTTGAAGGCACAAGAATACAAGAAGAAGATATTTACAAGAAGATAAATTTGACGGTATATTACGTTAAATAGGAAAAGAAAAGTTTAGTTTTATAGAAAGTTATTTCTTCACAGAAAATTTGAAACTAGTAGAACCCCGTATAGTAGAGACGGTAAGACACATAAATCAATTTATACGGAACTTTCAAGCAAAACCGTCGAACTTTCAATAGAATATGTTGAAACGAAGGGCTCTTCTTTATATAAAATGTTGTTTATATGTAGAAAAAAAAAGTAGTTTGATATGAGTAGAAATTTGCATACTTATCTTTAGAATTAATTACAAAAGGTTTATAAACTCTGTGCATTAATTCCACGATTGATTTCCGTTTACAAGGCATCAAACTCCTTGGAAAATCGATATGCATAATTTCCAGCCTAGAAAATAAAAGAGACCTGCGACTTTAAAGCCGGGACAAGGGCTACGTCTCAGCATACTTTCGAACTCATGTTCTGAATTGAGCTTTATAAAAACAATTATTGAGCGTAAATTTAAGCGTCTCTTTAAGACGGCTTTCATATTAAGCCTAAATTCAATCTCAAATTCAAAGCAATTTACGTGAAAGAACCCGCTGAACGTCTGAGTAATCCTCAACAAGTTCCTCATGATTAACTTTATTGAATTAAGGTCGAGACTTCCAAAGCGTTATTCGTAATGCAGATAACAGCAAGTTTGTCCTTAATATCAATACGAGTTTTTCTCTATTCGCTAAGCCAGATATGCATGTTATTTATGAGACGGGAAATGAATAACATACTTTCTCGAACAATTTGATGACAAATTTCACATATCAGTACAGTAGTCATTATATCGTAGTTGAACGCCATAATTTATCCATTTTCTACATTTTCTCTCATTTTTGAAGATAAATTGGCTTTGAATTTTGCCTAGAGTGCCTTTATAAATAGAATAAACTGAAAATTTATCATTTAAGACAGGCTTGGAAATTTTTTCCTCTTTCGTCTGGAGTTTCGGGGAAGCTGGTCGGTTATAAATTCTTTTAAAGTGGTATAGAGGCAACGAAAGTGAAGGCGGTTGTGACGCCGTAGCCATCATAGATCAGATCGCTACAAAAGACACCAGTTTATCAGGCTTCCATGCAGATCTCGCGGTCGCTGTCGTACTCGGGGAATTAGCTACCATTTGCAGCCCTCAACTTTCCTCTCACAAGAACCTTGAATTCATTGATTTTTCATCATTTCTTCCGTATCAACAATTTTTTTCGAATGTCATACTTACACTTTGTATGCCAGGTATAAGCATTTCGGGCATTTCTTATGAGCATTAGCAAAGTTTTCGAAGATAAAGTTCACACATATTTGTTATTAAATAATCAAATTGATTTAATAACAAATAGGAAGGAATTAGGAAGAATTGGAAAATGTTTCCATTCACTCAGTAAGTTTTTCCTTGTCAAATTCATTAGGATAAGCAGTATTTTACGCACAACGTACAACGTAATTACAGCTTTAGGCAGTTAAAAACAACATTTTTCGCCTTAAAAATATTGATTTTTTAGGTACTCACAAAGTTTCTGTCACCGCAATTCAAATCTGCAAAATATTCTAACCTGGAAACTTTTCGGTGATCGAAATACTTTTGTTGAATTGCCGCAAGCAACGATATTTTTCGTAGAAATTTTAATTCTGGTTATTCAACTTTTAAGTCATTTTTCTGCCATTTTTTGAATATTTTAGTTTCAATTTTGAAAGTTCCAAAAATGTATACCAGATCATGTATTCTCTACAATTCAGTTTTTCAAAAATTTTGAGAAACGCTTAATAACGATGAGTAAAGGCTTTACGTGTTTATAAGTTCTGGACGTCATAAATGTTTATGATGGATTACAAAAAGTTCTGAACGACCAATTGTCTGGATTCGTCAAAAAACTTCATGATTCTCTAAAAAATCCAGTAATACTGCCGACAGCTCTTATCTTCGGTTATTAATTTGATTTATCCACTTCAGAATTTCCAAATCAGAATTTGTAACATTTTATTTGCATTTGCACGATTTTCAATGCCGAAAATACATACCATCGATTAAAATATTTTTTAGAAGGATCTATTGAAACCATCAAGATCGAGATTGCAAGCTGAAAGAGCTGGCTCTGATATGCCTGGTCTTGACTTTTCTTTTGAAGTTTTTTTTTCTGTTGGGAATATAAAGGGGTATTATTTCACTCACCAATCTTCACCAGCAGTTTGTCCAAGCCCCCACACAAATAAATTTGCACCGCAGATCAATGCAACTATAGGGATGATAACGAGCTGATGGAGGTCTTTTCTTACGTATACGTTCTAAATATAGACGTCTTAAGAACGAACATTGTTTTACAGAGATGAAATGAGTAAACCAACAAGTTGGTTGATTCTTCTTAAAAATATTCCGGATTTACTTGGCTCTTGGCTCAAAGGGGAAAAAACTTATTGTAGCCTAAGGAAGTCCTGTCCATGGTTCAGACATTGCGATCTAAAAGATCATTTTCAACAGGCTTAGCAAGACAATAATGTATTTCGGGAAGATTTATTCGGCCACGATTGTTCTTATGCCTGGATGCCTAAATGTAAACTTCAAAGTAAACACATCCAACACTTCCGTGAGCTTCAAAGTAAACAAGAATATTCAACATAACAACGACAGTCGTCAGGTGTGGGGGATTTGATAATTTTGTGTATGATGCTCAGGCAACAAGCTGGAAGCCTCGGACAGTCGAGACCGACATAATCACTGAACCAAAATGAACTTGCTGCCCGAGCGTGCTCACTGCTCAGTGTTCGTCGGAAATGTCCTCTGAGAAACGTTAGTGTTTTTCGTTCAAGTATTTCTTTATATACATTGCTGCAGTCTTGCACCAAAATCATAACTATGCCCAAGCACCATCATGATCGTGAACGTATTACAGCCAGTGATAGTTTAGAGATCCATTATTATTTTTGTTTTCAAATGAGGATTTAAAGTCGACAGTAGTTAGCATATACAGATAAAAACTTCAGGCTTCATTGTCTAGATAAACTGTTTCTAGAGCAAGCTTTAGGTTCTGAGCGTTTTTTGTAGATAAAACAAAATCAAGCGAATGCTTTAAATAATCACGGAAATGCACACAGCCGTACGGGATATACAACGATTTCTTATTGAAGTAATTTTATAATTACATTTATTCTCAATAGTATCTACACAAGACGGTCAACCCTTTTAAAAGCCAAAGCACTAACAACATGACCCATCTGTCCTATAGCATGTACGTGAACGATAACAAATTTTATTTTGAATTGATTTTCTTACTAGTTTGTAGTTAACAATAATGATTCAGCAGAAAATTGTGCATCTATAATTCTATATTCATAATTTTCATCTTTTCGTAAACGCAAGAAGAAATTCTGAAAAAATTTACTTACATGAAAATTTCACTTTATCATTATTTTATCTACTCGAATACAAAGGTTCTAGAAATAATATTTGCATACAAGAGTTTTAGAGAGCTTCAGGCTGTCATATTTTCGCCTACGGAGAAAGGCCAGAGTAAGTTTAGATGTTCTAGGGTTATCGAAAGCCACACTCTAGTGCCGATAAAACTCTAGAGAAGCTTTTATCGACTACCGATCTTACGAATTAAACTTTTTGGTGGATTATTAACGGCCTCGTGAAGGCAGCAGGAAGGCCGCCGTTGGCTCGGTGATAATCGCCTTTGGAAACAGCGATAAATTTTCCTTACTCAGTAAGTTTTTCCTTGTCAAATTCATTAGGATGAGCAGTATTTTACGCACAACGGTACAACGTAATTACAGCTTTAAGCAGTTAAAAACCAATATTTTTTCGCCTTAAAACTATAGAGAAGGCAAACTGAGCGTGACGCCGTCTAGTGCATTCTTTTGTCTCGCTCGATAAATCCTAATTACCCAAATAGGGTTCTATTTATTTATCTAATTGAATAGTAAGATGCACTTCTAAAATATAAATACCTGTGAAATTTTAGGGAATGAAGGCCTTAGTTATATAAGATTAAATGGAGCGTAGCTTCGTTGCTCGGACAATTTGTTTCAGATTAACGCAACTCAACTTTGGATTTCAACCGAATTGAAGAATTTAAAAAATAGCTCGTAGTGAGCTTTGGTGAACATATTGAGCTTCAATTAAGATCACGAGAACTTGAAATAAGTTAATCTATCATCATAATCAAGTAATAATTTTCAGAATGAATTCCTCTTCTTGATGAACTTAACGTTGGTGACATAAACTGGACGGAATTGTGAAAAATTGCGTATACAGTAAAAAGTTTCATCGACGGAACAGGCGTTCGTGGAAATTCATTACAGCGAACAGTGAATGCTAATTTTTTCCGTCGTGAGCTGCTTTGCATACTAAACCTCGAGCTAGTAAGGCTTCAATATATAAAATATCAGGAAAAGCCGTGCTCGCGAAACTGAGATATTGCAGCCTGGCTACGAAAGTAAACCCAGTGAAGATGGCTTCAATCCAATTATAAGGGACTTCAAAATAGCTAGATCAATTACTTACGGATTATTCTCTTTCAATAGGCCAATTATTTGAGGATATCTTACATTCATGATAAACGAGGGAAATTATATAACGCTTTGATGGTTTAAGTCCAAGTCACACAGAAAAATGAATGGTTCACATTGTCTCAATAGTGGCACAGATGCGCAATTTTGCCGGACCAATACGGGTTGAAATGACACATTCTATTAAAAAGTACTTTGTTATTTTAACAAAGTCTAACTCTTTTCTCTGAGTGAAGGAAACAGTGTGATAACAATTTTCAATATCGGTAATTGGCTGCTCGGGAAGGATGATTCAGCATTATTTAATTTTTTTTTTTTTGGTAATTGCAATGACTTTCAACAAACGTTTTTTAGTTTCATTGAAATTCCAGGCATGTTTGTGTATGTTTAATTGTGAAATTAAGAAGGTAAGACATAATTCAATGCATAATGAATTCAGCTCGTCACTACGCGGCCATATGCAAACGCTTCATGTATGATCACTTGTTATTTTGTGTCATTTATTTCTCAGTGTTTGATGTCAAAGAAATGATCATTTTCTCCCGTTTTCTGTTCATATTTTTTAGTGTGAAGCTATATTAGTTGGCGGTAGAGAATTTTTAAATACTGAGTTATATTTTACAAGCGCAGCAAGAATGAATGGGACAACTCTGAAGCATGACGGTTAAAATGCAGTCAAATAATGTCTCCTGTGTCGCGCACATTAAGTGCTTGCGATAACTGGAATAAACGATGAGTCTTAATTAATGGCAGTTTTTATGATGCGGTGTTGTCAGGGGAATATTCGTCCTGCACTTTGAACCTATTTCATGCCGAAGTTAATTTCCTATGAGGTAGATATTGTCTCTTAAATCTGCAGACGCCATCTCTGTAAATTTATAAGAAGCTATACGAAAACAAGCTATCGCGCCCCTCGAGCATCATACTAGGAACATTGGTGACAAAATTCTGCGTCATCTTTATTGTTTCCGGTTACAAGGTTGAAATTTATTGGTTGGCTTATTTTTATATTTTATTTCCACATCATTACCGGGCAATCGGGAGCTCCTGAAATTGACTTTCAGTTTTCTGATTGTTATTCCCGCGATTATGTCGTTTTACGCACATCATTTCTTGTTAGAGCAGGTATTATTTTCCAAATAAATATTTAAATTTTGAATTTTTGTATAATATATATCTTTATTAGCACACAACTTTTTCAAACAATTTTGTGCACATTTCTCCTAAATTAATCATTTTATCTGACGTATCAAAAAAGTTCAGATGAATGTTTGATTTTAGTCCACGCAGATCGGTACAGAGGTAAAAAAATTGTTCAACGTAATCATGTATCCAAAAAAATAATTTGAAGAAATAATTTTGAAAAGGACCTAGAAAATTTTCTATTTTACGACTAAATTTCTGTATATATTTTTTTAGAAATGAATTCAACGTTAAATGAAATAATAGATCATGTCCGGAACACTTGCCACAATCCGTTCTCTGCCGAGACATTTGCTTGTACGTAGACATGATGAATATTCTTGCGTAAATTACGCCTAAACAATCACACGATGATTTATTCTCGGTGATATTGATGGCGTCAGTTCACTCCTACGATGCAATTACTGCCAGTGCAACAACAGCAATTCATGAGCGATGCTGTAAAATTTCGTCCATTGCTGTGAGCTGGATGTTGTTTATAAGATGACTGGAAAACCCAGTGACAAAGTTTGATACATCGATATTATGAACTGATGAATTACAGCAAAAGTTGAGTTATATTTTTGTCATCTAATACAGTTTAGTACAGCTTTTTATCAGCGTCCGTCTATGAATTTAATGATAGTGAAAAGATGACTGATAAACTGCTACAAAGGCAACTGCTCATTCAAAAATCTTGGCCCTGTACTGTAAATAATGTGAAGAATAATCTTGCTAATTTCAGTACGCTGAAGAAAAAAGGTTTCTCGCACATTTTTATTCTATTCAGCCACATCAGTGATTTCTCTACAAACAAATTCACCTTATTTTAGAGACCGCGTGACTAGCTATGACATCTCACATCCTACAACACATTCACTGAATTTTTACATTCACAACAAGCAATGACTTCTCACGTCCTAAAACCCGTTCACCAAATTTTCACTTTCACAACTATTCACAAATACGGCTCACGTTCTACAACACATTCACCGAATTATCACATTCACGACTAGCTGTGATTTCTTACGTCCTGAAACACGTTCACCAAATTTTCACTTTCACAAATATTCGCAAATAAGACTAACGTTCTACAATACATTCACCAAATTATCACATTCACGACTAGCAATGACTTCTCAAGTACTGAAACACATTTACCCAATTTTCACTTTCACAACTATTCGCAAATAAGGCTCACGTTCTACAACACATTCACCAAATTATCACATTCACGACAAGCCATGACTTCTCACGTTCTTCACAGCGCACGTGGAGTTTGCAGTTGCAGCTGGCACCGTCCATCGAGCACCAGGCGTCCGCGATGCTGTCCATCCTACAGCGTTACTCGTGGCCAAAGTTTGCCATCGTGACCACACTCATCGCTGGCCACAACGACTTCATTCAAGCCGTTCGTGAACAAATTCTCGAGCTGCCAAAGCAGGGCACCGAACAAGAGTGAGCGTGTGACTTATTGACTAGTTTTTTTCTTGTCCGAATTTTTAGGTGACGTTCAGAAGTTTGGTAATATTTATTAGTTCGACTTTGTTATAAGCTTATATAACATTAAGTACAAAACGCTCCCTATTTATACCCATTACCATATTTATGTTCTAGTGATAACTTTAGTGTGAGCGTGTGACTTTTTGACTAATTTTATTCTTTGATAAATTTTTAGGTGACGTTAAGCTTTCTCGTAACCAAATGCATCAATTATTCCCTAACGTATCGAGATACTCTTACATTAAGTATAATTTTTCGCAGAAAAATTGCTCGTATCTACGTTTCCCAATTATGGGTCTTAGTATTTAAAATTGTATTTACTTAACATATCATGTCGCAAATAATCATCTGTGACTTACCAAGCTATGCATCGAACATAAAACATATGTAAGAATAAAGAACTTTATTTGACATTAAGTTTGACGTTGACGATGGGAGAGACCGGAAAGGAAGTTAGTGCAATACTCTGTGCAGGCAAGAGTTACCTCTGGATCGTTACTCAGAGCAATATCGTGTACAGGCAAGAGTTACCTCTGGATCGTTACTCAGAGCAATATCGTGTGCAGGCAAGAGTTACCTCTGGATCGTTACTCAGAGCGTCATCCAGAGCAAGACTGATGATCCTCCGGACGAGTTCCCTGTAGGCATGCTCGGTAAGATCGTCTGTTACACCGAGACTTCTTGTTTCTTATTCAATTTTTCCTGACTATGGATTGCCATATTTTGAGTGTCTGTAAATTGTTTTTTTTTTGAAAATATGATGTGATATTGTGATATCTCTTTCTTCTTGATATCTTCTTTATTCGTACAGGTAATTTATTTGCCTTATCGTAGTTGTGAATGTGAGTCTTAGTGAAAACACACGAACATGGTTTAACATTTATTGTAAAACTTCTTTTGAAAATGATTCTTTCGACCAACCTAGTCTGAGTTTAGTATTTTCATACAGTATAATGATATAATATTTTGGGTAGTAATTAAGGTCGGGTGTCAACTTTCCTTTTACACCTTTTTATAATTCTTTTACACTTTCCTCTTCAAAAATTCTAAGCTTAATGAAGTGTAAATATATAATTAAATTTCGATAGACACTTTATCCATATTTAAAGCATCCTGAATTATTCTACAACTTTTATGATCGTGTTGTAGTGCGTGATATTATCAGTACATCCTTATGATAAATTTTAGGAGTGATTTTCCTTGCAAAACTGCCACGAATTTTATACATGCAAATTATTATGAAAAAATTAACGGTTATAATTTATCACTCTTTGGTTGATTTATTTTTAAAAGGCTTAATATTGACTCTTGCAGTCACGGATAATTGGTAATTACGCTTACTGTCAAGTAAAGCAGTATATAAATAGTGTGTCTAGCACTGTAATTGGTTATTCAGTTATAACTTACAAGTCTTGCCATTGTTGACGCCATTATTCTCTCTTAATGGGGCGTAAAATTGTACTCTCCACGATTTAGCCTTGGCAGGAATAGCATCGTTTATTAACTTTTGAGGGACAAGAAAAAATGCACTACATTTGCTTCATAAATTTATTTAAATATCATTTGAAAATTTTGCTTGTCGTGAAATTAGCGTGTCCCGATATCTTCATTTTTTTAAGATTTTTTTTTTTGTCTTTTGGAACAAGGAAAAATGTATCAGAATTCTGCTCTGTTTTGCACTTTGAAAATACGGAAACTCTGAAAACATTGTTTATGTTAAAAAAATATCGATCTATGTTTGCTGCACTGCCGAAACGAATTCCACAAACATCGGTGTGGCAAATTCTACAGCCCGTGAAATAGACGTATGTTGCGGTGTTTCTTCAAATTGAGCATTAACCCGTACGAGCGTTTCCCTGTAACAATATTGTTAGGCACTAACATTCCCATTAGCATCTGATTTGTCTTTTGATGAACCTAGAGCTAATGATGAACCTCCTGTAGTTGTATTGTTAATTCAGGATAAACCTATAATACTGCAGCAGCAATATATCTGCGATTTGAAATGTACTTTATTGCACTGGGGTGAAATGAACTGCTCAGCAAAATACTATAAGGAAATTTCGCTCTTTCTTCGCAAACTATTAAAAAATAGGCAGCTTTTTGAGACTATTAATAGAAGAGAAACGCTGACTAGAGTTTATGAAACATTTTTGTTAGTCTAACTTTAGTAAATAAAGCAGGTCAAATCAAATCACTCGAAACCAGGGAATGAACTTCACAAAGTCGGTTGGAAGACCAAATCAAAATTTTGCAAATACCTTTTAATAATACTAAAAATGAGATTATAAAAAGTATATAAGAAATTTGTGGACGCAGGCGTTCACTTTGGCACGAACGAGTCGTTCATGATGTCGGAGATCAGCACGGCGGTGAAGGTGTTTGCATGGGGCACGTCTGCGTACGTCTCTGACGCCATGGAGCGGGGCGCTCTGCCTGACCTGAACCCGGCGCTCTCTTGTGACACGGGCGATGCCAAGTGGCATGCAGGCTCCAACTACTACAGGTGAGATAATCTAAGACGCAAGTACTTAACGGGCAGTAAAGTAAGGAGATTACTCTACTGGAGTAAGTAGGTACAGTAAAGTAAGGAGATTACTCTACTGGAGTAAGGAAGTACATAAACATAAACATAATCTAAGACATAAATACTACGTAACCGACAGTAAAATAGGGAGATTACTGTACTGGAGTAAGTACGTACAGTAAAATAGGGAGATTACTGTACTGGAGTAAGTACGTACAGTAAAAAGGGAAATTACAGTACTGGAGATTGTTGGTTCATCGAAAGACAAAGCTGTTGTATAAATAATGAGAAATACAACCTGAGTTGTTGGAGGTTTATTACAATCTGAGCAGATTTGTACCCATATTTACTTACAATGTTAACATGTCTTTAATAGCATTGTCTTACATGAAACTTAAACTCCAGTTCAAAAAGACACCTCATAACACCGCATAACTTTCGTTCAGATGTGCTCAATGTTTATTCGACAGCAATGTCAGCTACACAAATTTTTTTAAATGAAGTATAGAATTTGTAACTTTATATCACCCCTATATTAGAATGGCTGTGTTTGCTATTGATACATGAAATATTTTAGTTAGGTAATAATAAGTACGAATAGTCCAGTAATCGAGAGGTTTCCAGTGGACTTTTTTCTTCGTTATTCGGGCCTTACTGTTCATTTGAAATATTTGTTTACTTTTTCTTCATCAACATATTTGTGCAAAAATTCTACTTTTATCCGATAAGCAATACAAACAATATCATGTGGCATATATACTACTCAGTATCATTTGATCGTCAAGCTCTTTGATCGTCCTGCTTTCTCATCACGCGATAATAAACGACATGAACCGTAATTAGTATTGCCCCTGATAGTCTCATACGAGTGTGCCTTGCGATTCATCTGTCACTGTGACTGACGTGAAGTGCTTCCAGTCATTGTATTGTACATCCTGGCGTGTCTCAATGTGTCACAGTCAACATCTTCGTCCTATCGTAACAATTCTGCAGGCTAAAAATCACTAAAGATTAACTTGAAAGTTTTCGTTACTTAACGCAATATTCCTAAAACGGTGGTGACCGAGCGAAATATTTGAAGAGTACTCTGTTCTCAGTTCGGGTAATATTGTTTTTTCTAGAAGCTCTTAGAATTAAGCAATATTATTAAAATAAATGTGTGCTGTAGTCGATGCTAGCTCAAAGCAAACAAAATTCTGGTGAGAAGTAAGCTTACAATCAAGTGAAAGTAATTTGGCTTTCTCAAATGACATTGAAATCTTTGTAGTTACGTATACCGATCTCAATTTCATATTTGTATTTGAATATATGCTATGTGTATGCGAATATTTTATTCGAGTTCAAATAATTTTATTTGTCTTTGAATAGAATTTCAACTTGGCTTTCTGAGGAGATTGGATTAAGAACCACGTATGAATGAATAAATTTTATTTGCTACAAGAGATTATTACATTACGAAAGGAATAGGCTCAGTGGTGCCACGCTTTATGCGAGAAGACACTCTCTAGGCTGGCTATGATGGGGCTTATTAAGCCCCATGTATGCGACTGCAGGGTCCGATAGCTCTGTTTGATGAGGGACTTCAGAAGACGACGGCGTCTTAGAACTGTACCCTGATAAGTGGCCGAGCACCAGCCCAGCTCCATCAAAGGCCTCGCTTAATTAACTTAGATCGTTTAATATACGTACTAACTTGATCATAATTTTCATTTTATTCCAAAATCATTAAAATTAACTGATTATGTGGATGGTAAAAACTTTGCTTCGTGTCCAGAGAAAGTGGAGTTAAAAATTATGCACTTTAAAACATTTATTTCAACTGCCACTTTATTATTTAACCGATTTAAGGCGATGTAAATCAAAATGATTTACATCGCCTAATTACGCTTCCTTACTTGGTTCATATTAAATTTCTTGATAATTAGAATTGTATAATATCATTATTTGAAATTTTACATTTGTGTAATTGCTCTAAGTCCATCAAAACGGAGGCAGATTTAACACGAATCTGCGAATAATGAAAAGAATGCATATACTTATCGCTGTTTGTTTTGTGAGAACAATACATCGCACGAGGTTGCTCGAAGATGGCATTAGGTTGCGCAAAGTTTTGCGTAGCATTTAAGATACAAATCTCGGTTCTTAAGTTGAGCTTCGACAATAAACGTAAATAGAAAAAAAATGTTAAAATATAAGGACACACAATAAGAAATGCATTATGCATGACATGGAGTAGAACGAAATAAGGTTATTTGAATTGTGTGATGTCAGATTGCAGAAAATTATATTACAGTGAGATGCTGGAAAATTGCTCGGAAAACTTTCTTCTGCAAATTTTCTTCAATTTCTAACTTTTTAATTTGACGCGCAAGTGCCAACAGCTGGCATTATAATGTTTCACAGATTTTTATCTCAATAACTTCTAGCTAAACCTTTTAGAGCCAGGCACTTTATCTGGCTAGCTCTTGACGCAAAACTACACTCACGTTGAAATAAAATCCAAAATCTTCGCTATTCTTTATTACAAGCAATTACGGGGTTAGCAACAGCCCCATGAATTCAAGTTGCCGCTTCAACCTCGACTGCCCTCAAGCCAGAATTATTGTGTGGCAAGTTTTAGGCTGTAATATCCGAGCTCTCTGCTGCTGCCTTATCAAGAGGTGTGAAGTGTAGAGACTAGCTTCAAATTGCTGGCAAGTTCGCTATCTTTGAAGCGGGTCTGCTTAAAGCCTGTGCCGTTTGTGCTGGTCGCAACGAGAGCAAGAGAGAAATTTGGAGCCCCGCCAACAGGGCATTTGAAGAGATTTGAGTCTGCGTGAAAGTAAAGTCGTGTATATGATGGTAATGTTTATGATGGTAATGTGGTTATGATGGTAATGTGGATATGACGGTAATGTGGATATGATGGTAATGTTTATGATGGTAATGTGGTTATGATGGTAATGTGGATATGATGGTAATGTGGATATGATGGTAATGTTTATGATGGTAATGTAGATATGATGGCAATGTGCACATGATGGTTATATGGATATGATGGCAATAGCAGTACCATCAGCGTGAGATGAAAGTCATGCCGAGTGTATGATGTAATGAGAATACCATTATGTGTGAGATGAAAATAAAGTAGCCTAGCTTACGAAAATCGGATTCGCACGCCTAAGCAATTTCTGCGCTCAGTCGTTGTGGCCAACGGTTCTATGTAGATGGGCACTGGCTTGACATTGCAAAAATAAGATAATATAGGATTCACTCTTCTACTTGATTTTTTCATTATAGCAGAATAAATTGAGCTTCGATATGATTTAGTGAAGACTTTGTAATTACGTATTCGATATGTATTTAATGAAGACTTTTGGTGAAAAAGTAGCATCGCTGTCCCGTTAAAACTGGGCTGTGCGTACACGATTGAATCGTGACCATTTAACGCTCGAATATGTAAATGCTTTAATATGTAAAACAACGCTCGATTTAAACATATTGTTTTCATAACAATTCCGTGCTGATTATCGAATCCTTATAAAATATAATTATTTTAGAACCAGCACAATGTAATCATATTATCGTGTGTTTTTAATTCCTACTGCAAATCATCCTTTTTTCCATCTCAGCGTTCTTGTAATCAATATTTTAAACTCGTCCTATGTTTGTTATAACTTCAGAAAATTGTGAGATAAAAATTTTTCTCTTTGCCTAACAATTTTACCTTAACTTGCTCTCATCAATTTGCTACCATTGAATGGTCGTACGAATATACGACATTTAATCCAGTAATACTAACTAAAGAAAGAGTTGTAATACCTGTGAACAAAATCGTTAACATTCTCTAAAACAAAATCCTCAGAATCAGAGTAGCAAAATCAGACCGTCCTCATCTTGGAAGCGCATTTGGAATTACTTCAGTAAAATCGCCCCCTTAGTTACAATAAAATCGAGTTCAGAATTACTGCGATAAAAGAATATAGCGGTCGCGCGCACGGCTCAAGGGAGCGCTCAGGAACGTACACTCATCAGCTTTATTTGAGCGCAGCTCGCACCCGCGGTCTCCTTTAGGCGGCCGAAATTTTCACTCCAGCCGAAGCACCAATTTTGTTCTGTGAAAGATAAGCCTTTACCACCACACAAGTCATAAGCCTTTACCACCACACCAGGCATCCAATCTGAGAAAATGTTCATATGAACGTACTTTTTTATTTACGCGGAAAAAATTTCGAAGATTAGAATTCGGCCAATTTATTTATCTGAAATTTAATAATATATTACATTATACGAGAAAAATCAAGTATACCAGTTCAACAGTGGAATCAAATGTTGCCGCACCTAAATCATAAATTCACCTGAACGACACTCTAATTTACGATTGATTCTCTGCACTCAGGTTCCTGAAGAACATCAGCATCGACATGAGTGCGGACAACCCCAAGATTCCATACCTGCGCTTCAACGCAGACGGCACCCGCAAGGCCGTCGAGCTGCGCATCATGAACCTTCGTCCTGACCTGTCAAAGAAGCTCGCATGGGAGGAGGTCAGCAATATTGTTGTTATATGTTATGCAACTCAATATTTGATAACTAAATTATAATTAATTAAATTATAATTATTAATTATAGGTTATTATAATAATTAACTGTAAATTAATTGGAAGTCAACCAAGAATTTTGAAGAAAAACAAATAAAAAAACGTGCGAATGTCGTGTAAAAAAAACTGAGTATAAAGAACTAAAATTATTATTATGAAATGAGAATTTATTACTAATCGTTATCGCAGAAGCTATTCAGCTCGTAATTATTTTATAACCGTCTTTAAATGCAGGTAAAATATATAACTTCAGATTAATTTATCCATTATGCAACTGAAGCGAGAAGTGACGTAAACTTGAATACTAAATAAAAAATGTTTCATAATAATAATTGTACAAACTAGGTCATGCTAGATATAAGGTCATTTTGTGATAAATTGAATATGAGGTATATCAAAGAAATCCGGTCGTTTTCATTATGATGGTTTTTGATTTTGCTCATTACGTTAGGAGCCAAACTATTTCTCCGACGTTGAATTTTTGAACAATAAGTCTAAGCATGCCAGGACCGTACACGATATATTCAGTAAATCTCGGACTACCGGAGTAAAGCAACTGGGCCAGACCACTGCATGGGCTCATTCCCATCACTCATCCTCGAAATCCTTTATCTGAATCCGCCCTTATATCCATGGATCNATCCATGGATCGTCTCTGCTGCTCAGTCTATAACACTGCGGTCTCCGCAGCTTGATAGGAACCATTTCAGTCCTGACAATTTGGTAGGAACCATATCGGTCTCAGCAGTTTATTAAGAGCTATTTCGGTCCCGGCAGTTTAGTAGGAACCATTTCGGTCTCGACAGTTTAGTAGGATCTATTTCGGTCTCGGTAGTTTAGTAGGAACCATTTCGGTCTCGACAGTTTCTTAGGAACTACTTCGGTCTCGGCAGTTTAGTAGGAACTATTTCGCTCCCGACTGTTTAGTAGGAACCACTTCGGTTTGGTTAAATCAATAACTATTGATAAAAAAACTTGAGCTCCGGAAAAATTATTCTATGTTACGCACTACATAAATACATTAGGCAATAATCTTTCAGAGAAAGTCATTCTAACAATATTTGGCCTGGCATAACGAACAAATCACTCGCCCACGCAGAATTTAGAGGCAGTATTTCAGTTTAGCTCGTTGCTTTGCCATGCCCTCGTTAGGCTTCCTATGCTCAGACAACATGAACATCCGGCAACATGAACATCGAGTTCTTCGTGCTCAGTAATTGCGCTGTGATTGGAAATAAAGGCCATTCCTTCCATTCCGCCGCCAGCAGACTGGAAACTAAGTTAATTGCATCGGCCGCGTGCAAGTAATTTGAGCTTGAAGCTATTCACAAATTGACGAACATTGATGAACTATGGCGTAATTTGTGCGCTGTGTGTTCAATGGAAAGCAATGACAGCTGAATGTTGCTGGATAGTCAACGTATGCGAATATTTATACATTACATGAAAAATATAAATTATACGTCCTGATTGGTATCACAAGCACTATAGAATTGGTGTAGGAATTAAAAAGCAGGTGTGTTTCTAGCACAGAGTTTAATTGATATTCATCTGCAGGGACAGTTTAGAGTTAATCTCGCATAATATTGTTTTTAGGATTGTGAATACCTGTCATTAGTATTCTTTGGGTAAAATAAGTGAGCTTTTAAAAAAATATTGGCTTGTGTAGTTATTCAAAATTTAGATTGATAATAAGTTAAACGGGACAAAGCATGATCAAAATACAATATAAAACCTGACCCTTTCGATGCCCTGAGGTATAACTCTGAGAATGCTTGGTGGTTCTTCTTGTTGGTTGCATGTAAAGTTTTGCTCAACAATGCTTAAGATTTGTTTGTGTGAAACTTCACATTTGCCAACCAACTTATTTTTTAAATTTGTTTGTAGTACGGGCACTCTTTTAGAAAGATTCGGGCTCCATAAGATAGGAATTTTTCTGCAAGCTCAGTCTTTCTCGTCTCACGAGCATATTCAAGATCTGCTTTTCGGTATTAGACACCTTCACAGGTTGATATTCAAATTAAAATGCGTGCAGTTTATCTAAGTAAATACATGTTAAGGTAAACACAATCATATGTTGTGGCGGCCCTAACTACAGCAACACCAATTGACTTGCTTCTCTGCATCATAGATTTATATTCCCTCATTTCGTTGTCTGATTGTTGATATGTAAATATTTTTTTTTGCCGGACGTGTTTGTACCTAACCTTTAGATAAATTTTCTGTTCCTGGGAACATTCTGTTCCAAAGAACCAATCTGTGCTAAAGTTAAATAAAAATTCTGGTCGAAATCGGTAGGGTGGTAAAATATCGACGACAAGCCAACATGGCCCAATCATCGCGGATGCCTCTACGTGATATTATTATTATATAAAATGCGTCATCTGTACTAAAATTTGTTGGACCACACGGGCTGATCGGGGTGTGTACTCACAAAAACTTTATTATTATTGATAATATTATTATTATTATTATATAAAATGCGCCATCTGTAGTTAAGTTTGTTGGACCACACCGGCAGATCGGCGTGTGTACTCACAAAAACTTTATCATTATTATTATTATATAAAATGCGTCATCTGTACCCAAGTTTGTTGGACCACACCGGCAGATCGGGGTGTGGTACTCGTGGAAGTCGCAGGGCCTCGAGGTGAAGGACATCGTGTGGCCAGGACACGCTCACGTCCCTCCTAACGGCATCCCTGAGAAGTTTCATCTCAGGGTAACACCGATATAATTATTACTATATAATAAATAATTATTTATCTGCAGCCTACACTTGGAGAAATATATGAAACTTTATACAAATACACAAGTGTGGGTTATCCTGACCCAGTTTAGCTAATTTTATTAAGTGAGTTTAGTGAGTGAGTTTAGTTTTATAAAGAATAATTTTATATTGTATAAAGTGAGAATATTTTTTCTGTTCTCTCCTCAGGAAAATCAAATTAGACAGAATTTTTTTTCACTTAACATTTATATTCTATTTGCTTTTACTAATCTTTATCATTTGATGCCTGAATTCCTCAATTGAAACTCTATTACTGTTAGATTGATGGAAACTGACGCGATCATGGCTTTTTTTGTTTAACAGTGTCAGAGTTTAAAAATTTTTGCGTGAAATTAATTTGATTTCAAATTTCTCTAATTATTATGAACCATGTTTTTTTAATCAGTAAATCGTCATTTCACTTTCCGACTTGTACTTCTTCGCAAGTTGCACTTCTTGGCATTAAGTATTTTCGACACCTGATAATTTAATTGATCTCTTTTTAGGGCGGGAAATAAAGATCTTATTCTTTGCTATTAAATCATGCGACGCGCCCAAATATTGTTCACCTCCAGAAAGCTTGATTATTTATTGGAGGGACACAAAGCCAAAAATTATTAAATGCTCTCAGAAATGCACCCAGCTCGCAGATTATTCGTCATTTCTCTGTTACTATAGAGTACTATTCGTATTCCATACTCCTATTTCAGAAATAAGGAATAGTCACTTTGTTTTTGTAGCACCTGCCGCACTACATTTATGGCTCTAGTCTCTTTCCGTGGGTCTTTTGACAAGTACATAATAATAATAATAATAATAGCGGCCGTAGGCCTGTCGCCGACTCTGACCGCCCGGCCTCCTCGCCGATTCTGACCAGAAACTGTCGCACAGAGCTGGGATCGAACCCGCGCCCCTCTAGTGCCACATTCACAAAATCTTGGTACTCTGAACTTTAACCACTGGGCCACATAATTACATTGACCTTTCGAACAGCCGCGAGTCGAATATATCCTCATAATTCTTACCAGGCTTTGCTACTTGGCATTTTGTGTTACTCATCCGCACTGTATATGTATGTTTATGGGGAAAGTTGGTCTCGGGATGAACTTACATATGTTTGTTTCTAGTATCACTCATTAGATATGGTCACACTTAGAGTTTGAGATGAATGACTTGGTCACGTCACCAGGCTATTAGTATAGTTACTTATCTCTTACACTGCATAAATTGCAAACAAATCCATTCAAATTTTTTATCCATTATGAAACTTTGGAATTGAGTGAGCAGGATCTCGCGAAATATTTTAGAACAGCTGTCAATTTTATCTTAATTTTGCTGAAGAATTCTTGGACAGGCAATTTAATATATCACGTTGACAAAATTTTTACGTGAAATAAGTTGTCCAATTATCAAATAGTTGATACGACCATTAACATTCCCGTCACAACGTACGATATTTATCTTTTATAATTAACAGTATGCAAATAAAAAAATAAGATAATATGCCATTATAAATACTTTTTTATATCCAACATTATTTTATCTCATTTATATTTATGAGGGATCTTTGGCTATTCAAGATAAATTCGTTCATCTCGTGCGAGCAACTCGACTAGGAAAAAGCGATCTCTTCCTCCTCTGCACTTCCTTGGACCGCAGGGAACTTGGTTGCCATTAAAATCCTTAACTCGGTGTCCCCAAAAAGGCCTAACTCCTGCGAGCAAGTTGTGAGATAGTGCCTCATTCCTGTCAGTTAAGCGCGTACCGTGGCTCACAATCGACCCCAGAAACCTGGCAGTTCCATAACTAAGTTAATTATTGACGGAACTATGAACGTGGGTTCCACTTTAACGAAGTCTGCAACCCTCAGCAATATCCGCCTTGCATTAGTTGCGTTACTACAAAATAATAGCCATGATCTGCAATAGAAATAGAATAGAAATGTCGGCACTGAAGAAATAGGCCCATGGCCTAGTATTAAAGTTAGTGTTTCACGCTCGTCGTTTTAGAGATAACTTTGAACATCGAAATCTATTCAACTTTTAATTTATGGAATTTCGGTTAGTATTGGAAGATTTGCATGTGTAATTCAATTGAAATTGAGTTATTTCTTGTAATTTTCATTTCTGATTTAGCCTCTCAATTTCGTTCCATTACATTGCTAGTATGATTAGCGTTCGCTATCGAAGTCTACAATCCGATCGCTCGTAATTTCCAGGTCAAGCGGTCCTAAATTCAGGACCTGCAGGCAATTTTCCCTAATTATCGCCAAGAAATTGATGAAATGCTGTGTTTTTGCATGCTCATGTCGGTTAAATTCGTTCACAGTCTCATCTCAATGCATGTTACGTACACGGTGGGAGTTGCAGAATTAACAAGAATTATCAGAAGTTAAAATATCAGCGGCATGAGATTAGACAATTTCCATGCTGGGTCTTCGATTAGGAACGTGTGCTGATGCCTGGTCTGAACTCTGACATTTGATGATGGAATATTGATATACGTCATTGAACATTTTTTTATTGTGATCGAGATTAAGAGAGTGTACATCAATGGGATAATAACAATATTTCATGTAGCAGTTTTAATGTAGAGTCATAATTTTATTAGCTATGAAAATATTCCATAATAATTTAAACATGCTGCTTAATTTGATTTCAAATTCATCGGGTGTAGCATTCTTTAATATATTTACTAATCGGCGATGTTGCGCAGTTCGTTGTACAAATTTACATGTTCTTTTCATAATGTATTTCATATAATAAGTTTTCAAAGTTAATGATAATGTTCTGGTATGTCTGAGCCACAGATCACGTTCATGGAGGAGCCTCCCTTCATCAACATGGCGCCCACCAACCCTCTCACGGGAACTTGTCCAGCCGACAAGGGCGTGCTGTGTCGGGTAGCAACTGACGAAATGATGGTCGGGTTAGTTCTTTCAATTATTCAGTAATTTAAATAATTCAGTAAATAAAAAACATGTCAATAAATAATTTACATGCGGAAAATTTGTAATATTGCCTGTTTTAGTTTAAAGCTAGGTTCAAAATAATTTTTAAATTTCGTCCGAGCACATCTCGATGTTTAAAACATGCACACTCTCATGATTGAATGATTATATTTGATTTATAGTATGAATGAAGGATTAATCACCTGGAAATAAATTGGGAGGATGTTTGTCGGAATTGGAATACGAAACATGCATTCATCTTTTTGGTGGGTACCTACTGATTGCACTTTTATATTAAATCTCTCTACAATGGTAGATAATGTCTTGCAATATTTAGTGTGGATTACATTAAATAAAAAGTCGGATTTTTGCTACCATAATAACGTTTATCTTAAAATAAATGCAGTTACATGAAGTCAAGTACATAAATACATAAATTGGAGTTTTATACTAAATATGTTCGATGCAAAACTAATAATAATATTCGATTATGCTTTTCACAAGCAATATTTTTCCATTCGCTGCACCAGGGTGAACGTGACGGAGGCCATGCGCAACTCGAGCTACTACCGCTGCTGCTCGGGCTTCTGCATCGATTTGCTCGTCAAGTTTTCCAATGATCTGGGATTTTCCTATGATTTTTCGAGAGTCGAGGACGGCATCTGGGGTGCCATTGTCGTAAGTCAACGCAAAAGGGGCAAACTTGCATTCTTTTCCTACCGCTTTTTACTTTTCTAATATTTAAGCCTCCTATATTTTTCTTTGGGGAAAAACCTGCACGCATCGCCAAACATTGATGCTTTTGGCTCAAGGCGATGCCTCGCTTTTTTTTCGTCTGGTAAAAAGGTGATATATGTCTGGTTCCAAAGTTTGATGTCGGCAAAAAATATATTTTTAAAATCCTGGTAAGAACTTTTCCACCAACTACTTTGGTGTAAACATCCGAGCTTGATTCAAGCGTAAAATGCTAGAAGTTTTCGTGCCGAATCATTTTCAGAATTTGCTGCATTTTTTCCGAGAAAATTTTTATGCACTTCATCTGTTCTCAGTTGTGAACAAATAAAGATTTTTCTGCCATCTCCATGAATAATAAGGCTTAGTTTGTGTGCTGTTAAAATGACCTTTCACGTGTGGTTTTATCCACTTTAATTAACCGAGTCACCATGTATCGTTGCGGTCTTTATACGTACGTATACACATTAAAGGCTGCGAGACTAAACAACGTATTTATTTATACTTTAGCGAATCAGAAAATACTTCTAATGTACGAGTATATCTAATTAGAATTAGCGCACTCATTGCCACGGCTTCAAGGGAAAGTCACTGCTGCTTTAAGATACCTTATATTGGACCAGCTTAATGATGTATTGTGGCATTAAAAACACTATTCTTAATCGTTGACGGTTATAAGTGAAAGCTTCTCTAGTTATTGAGCATAACCTATTCAGTACCGTGATTAAAACTAATATTCAGAATTTAATCCTGAATCACATTTTTTGTGTAAAGCAGCATCGTGAAAAGCCACTATTAGAACATCCATTCACTCAATATTAATACGAAATAATAATTTTTAAATGTTCATATGACGTGACTGTTATATTCAGATTTTATATTCAAGCCCGTAATTCACCGCGAGACCCCATAAGTAACGGAGCTAGCTTTAACGACGGTATAAAACGTACGAGTTTTTTGTATCGTAAATTCAATATTCACAATTTATGCGTGCATATCTGGGCTTTTTTTCTGAGTCCAAATCTATGCTTTCGATTTCTGAAGGAATAAGCGCGACTGCAATTCGCGTTTATTCGTGGCATTGGGAGTCCACGATGCTCAATGCAGTCAGGCAGTGGAAGAGTTTTTGTCAATTTTTTATTCATATTCTATGTTTATTGTATGTTATTATGTTATTCTATGTTATTCTATTCTATGTTATTATTCTATGTTTATATCGCAGGTGATTGACTTTTATTCCCAGCTAAAACTGTGGTTTTTCTTCTTAAGCTTCGTTCGTCATTTAGCAAGCATTAGGTATATGTTTAGGCTATTGTACTGAGCTATTCAAACTATAATTCGATTAAAATACAAGACAGCTTCTCCTGCAATGCTATAAAGCGATTATTCAACATAGTTGACGGTGCATATGGAATATTTCGTGGTGATTGTGCAAAAATCAACCGCTAAAACTCTGCATAAATGATACTTAACTATATTGTCGTTGACTCCACACAACAACTTGCACAGCAATACAAAATATCTCACATCACAAGGAAACTCTACGGATTTTGTCATTAAGATTCAACTATCTCGCGTTGTCAATAGCATGCCGTTTATTTATTGGACTCATGAATAATGTAATGACTTGGGAAGCGGACGCACCTGTTATTAGACAATATATTTTAAATGTCCCTCATTAGACTTTCTGGTACAATTCAGACTGTCATTAATGTAATTATAAATAATAAATTGACAGGAATGAATCACGGATAATATTTATTTCTGCAATAAGATGAACTAAAATCAATTTCGTTTAGTGTTGATTCAGGTCAAGATCTTGATTAAATTTAGTCCATAAGAATGAGTGCTGAAATTTAGTCCATATGAGTGAGTGTAGAAATACAATCTAAATTTCGATAGTAAGAAGTTTTCATGCATTTTACACAAGGGATGTCAAGTAATAGATGGTTGAAGCGAGTTATTTCAGATTAAATATTCAAGTTTAGACAATTATCCTGGCGAGACCATTTAGATACGAGTGCGTTAGAGGAAGAGCCCAAGTTTTGAAACATTTTTGTGAGACAACAGCTAAGGTTTCACAGGTGATTGACTTATATTCGCAATTCACAACGTAAAACTGTTGTTTTTCTTCTTAAATTTCGTTCTTCATTTCACGACTGATTTTCGTATGTGTATCATTTTTGCTTCCTTTCCTTGTTCAACATAATTTACCGTGAAGGTAATTTTGCCAAATTTTTGGTTTGCTGGTGATAGCTCCTGCCATCCACTCTTATAGTTACAACTGTGTTGAATCCTGTATGGACGCCTGTATTGAAGCCTGAGTGAACGTCTGCGCTGACGCCTGTGTTGACGTCTGTGTTGAATCCTGTATGGACGTCTATGTTGACGCACTCAGAACGGCAAATGGACGGGTCTACCCGCGGCCGTTTTAGCCGGCAAGGCCGACATGGTCATCACTTCGATCAAGATCAACTCGCAGAGGGAACAAGTGATGGAGTTCACGGTGCCCTTCCTCGACACCGGCATCGCGATGGTCGTGTCGAAGCGGACTGGCATTATATCTCCTACGGCATTTTTGGGTATGTGTGTATCAGTAAAACGGAGTATCTCATCGAACTTATTCCGGTCTTCCGTGTCAATAGCCACTAGATCAACAGCTTCTATTGCTTTAAGTAAATAATCAGGTTATCTGGATATGTGTTAGAACTCCTGAAAGAAGAAAAATTGAATGAATCTTCAACTGCTTGTTTCTAATCAAATTCAGCCAATATTACGTAGATCCTTTAGTAATATCTACGAAATTTCTCTATCTCTTTTTGTGTCTGTGAATCACAATCTATTCCTGAATTTGATTTCGTAGAATATAAATAATAATTCTTTACCAGTTTAATATTGGCATCTAATTAATTATACTGCGTATTGAGGCCGACAAATGTTTTATCTTTATTCTTCTGATCATCTGCGAAATTGGTTTTACACTTCTTATGTTTCATTGTGCTTAATTTTAGAATGCTGTCTTTATTTCGTACCAGCGTTCACCGCGGTGTAAAATATTGTTCACGCATATTTGTGTGAGCTTAAGTGTGGAGTCCTGTAAGGAATTGCTAATGTCATAGTCACATAATTGATTAAGGGAGAATTCTAAGCGTGCAGTTACATTTAATTTAATTATCCAACGTATCGTTCACTCAGATACTGTACCTATTAATCAGTATACTGTACTCTCTTATTTATATCTCAGTGTCCATTCATCAGTAAACTATATAAACTTTGTTCGAATGTTCGTTACCTACAGAACCCTTCGATTTGGCCTCGTGGATGATGGTGGCTTTTGTGGCGATCCAAGTGGCGGCTGTGGCGATATTCCTGTTCGAGTGGCTCAGTCCTTCCGGCTACAATATGAGGGTAAAGCTGTAAAGCTGTCCACTGCACCGCCAGGTCCACTCTGGACAGTCTTAAGGAATTCGCTGGTTTGGGAACGAGGCTCCGTGCGGTCGAGATTGCCCGCGATGTTATGCGGTTTGGAGGACGGTTCTTTCGGCTATATGAAGGGGCAATTTGCTCTGCAGGCTGAGGGGAAATTTCCGCTGCTATTAGAGAAGCGATTCACTCTGAGGGGTCTTTCTCGGTGCATTTTGAGTGGCAATTTACTTCTCCGTTAGAGAGCCACTGCCTTGTTCTATATGAAGGTCACTTTCCTGTGAAGTTTGAGGTACACTTCTCTGTTCTATATGAAGGTTACTTCCCTGTTCTATTTGAAGGTCACTTCCCTGTTCTATATGAAGGTGACTTCCTTGTTCATTTTGAGGTACACTTCCCTGTTCTGTATGAAAGACACTTCCCTGTTCTATATGAAGATGACTTCCCTGTTCATTTTGAGGTACACTTCCCTGTTCTATATGAAAGTCACTTCAATGTTCCGTTAGTAGAGCATTTCTTCCTGCAGTTTTAAAGGAAATTCTTGGTAGCGTCCAGACAGCAATGACTTGCTCAGTTTGCGTGGCAATTCTTACTTCGGTTAACGCGCAATTTCCTGTTTCATATGAAGAACAATTTTCTTCTCCGTTTGAAGAGAAATTCCCATTTTTTACAGTCAATAGCCAGTTCCGTTGGAATGGCCATTTCCTGTTTAACTTGGAAGCAGTTCTGTACATGTACGACTTGACTAATAACTTTCAGTGCCAATTAAATGCTGATTCCCCGTTCCATTTAAGAAGCAATTCCATGATCCTTTTATGGGGAAATTTTCAGTTCCGTTACATTTGAACTTTTTATGAATTTAGTCCGAATGTTTGAAAAAAAATAAAATTTGGGACAAATACTTAATAATATGCGTTTAAAAATTACTTTTTAAAGACAACACTTCTGAACAATCCAGTGTTCAGAATCCTGCACTCACTCACAAGATCTGAACTTGGTTTCTCATTAGAATATCGGCCACTGATTTAAAAAATTGAACGTCTACTTCTGTCTTCCAAGTTTCCAACATCAAGTCTTGGATGTAAACGTAAATTTTTTTTCACACTCTGTCATTATGCAATAATTTGCGGGTATGACATTTTACTTTAACTCTTTCTTAATGTTTCTATTGTTCTAATGTTTACTCTTTCTTAATGTAATGTTCTAATGTTTCTTCTGCTCAAGGTGTATAGAACTTTAGGTAGTGGAAAGCTGAAAGCGATTTTGCGTGTGACTCTGCAGATGCAGCCACCACGGGACCATCCGTTCTCATTGTTCCGGACACTGTGGCTCGTCTGGGCCATACTCTTCCAGGCCGCCGTCAACGTCGACTGTCCCAAGGGCTTCACCGCGCGGTATGCACTCACATCAAATTTTCACTCAAAAACCTTGAAAAGAAATAAGTAATCTTGATGACCATTTGCATTTGTCCGCCATAGTTTGCTATAGTGACGGGGTTGGTTCAAAAAAATGAATTCCGTCATTTTCCTTCCACTCGCTAGATCAAGAATTAACTCCATGTTTCAAGTTCCCAATTACAACAAGTTTACAGAAAAAGTATACTTTTTAGTTGTGTAATATTTGATAGAATGTTTTTTGATGTTATTCGTACTACGTTAATGTACGACTTGTTTCCTAAAAATTTGGAACTCCGCCAACAGGGCATTTGAAGAGATTTGAGTCTGCGTGAAAGTAAAGTCGTGTATATGATGGTAATGTTTATGATGGTAATGTTTATGATGGTAATGTTTGTGATGGTAATGTGTATGTGATGGTAATGTTTGTGATGGTAATGTGTATGTGATGGTAATGTTTGTGATGGTAATGTGTATGTGATGGTAATGTTTGTGATGGTAATGTTTATGATGGTAATGTGTATATGCTGGTAATGTGGATATGATCTAATGTTTTTGATGGTAATGTGGATATGATGGTAATGGGAATATGATGGTAATGTGGATATGCTGGTAATGTGTATATGATGGTTATATGTATATGATGGTAGTGTGTATGTGATGGTAATGTATATATGATGGCAATGTGTATATGATGGTAATAACAGTACCATCAGCGTGAGATGAAAGTCATGCCGCGTGTATGATATAATGGGAATAACATTATATGTGAGATGAAAATAAAGTAGCCTTGCTTACGATAATCGGATTTGCACGCCCAAGCAATTTCTGCGCTCAGTCGTTAATTGTGGCCAACGGTTCTAAGTATAGATATGCACTGACCTGACATTGCAAAAAAATAAGAGACTATATAACTCTCTCGTCTATTTGATTTTTTTCATAGAAGCAGAATAAATTTATCTTCGATAATTGTTTAGTAAAGACTTTGTAATTGGTGAAAAAGTCGCATCACTGTCCCGTTAAAATTAGGCTGTGCGTACACGATTGAATCGTGACCATTTAACGCTGTAATATGTAAACGCTTTAATATGTAATAATATGTAAACGCTTTAATAATATGTAAACGCTTGATTCAAACATGTTGTTTTCATGAACCCTGTTGTGAACATATCTCTGAGACTATCGAATCTTTATGAAATTTAATTATTTTTCGAACCAGCACAATGTAATCATATTTTCGTGCGTTTTGAATTCCCACTGGAAATCATACTTTTTTCATGTCAGCGTTCGTGTAATACATATTTTAAACTAGTCCTATGTTTGTTATAACTTCAGAAAATTGTGAGATAAA